ATAACAAATGCTGGAGAAATTGTGGAGAGACTGGAACACTTATAGATTGTTGGTGGGAATGTAAAATGGTTCAACCACTTTGGAAATCGATTTGGCACTTCCTTAAAAAGCTAGAAATAGAAGTACCATATGATCCAGCTATCCTGCTCCTTGGAATATATCCTAGAGAAATAAGAGCCATCACACGATTAGATATACGGACACTCACGTTCATCGCAGCAATGTTCACAATAGCAAAAAGATGGAAGCAACCTAGGTGCCCATCAATGGACGAATGGATAAACTATGGTATATCCACACAATGGAATATTATGCAACGATAAAGAACAATGATGAAGTTGTGAAACATTGTATAACATGGTAGAAGCTGGAACTTATGATGCTGAGTGAATTTAGTCAATCACAGAAGGACAAATACTATATAAGACCACCATTATAAGAACTCAAGAAAAGGTTTAAACATAGAAGAAAACATTCTTTGATGTTTACGCAGGTGGGGAGGGAGGGTGAGGGTTATTCACTAACTAGATAGTAGATAAGAATCATCTTAGGTGAAGGGAAGGACAGCACACACTACCGGGGAAGCCAGCACAACTGGACTAAACCAAAGCTAAGAAGTTTCCTGAATACAATCAAATACTTTGAGAGAGTAGCAGGGGTAAGGGTCTGGGGACCATGCTTTCAGGGGACATCGAGGTCAACTGGCATAGCAAAGTTTTTTAAGGAAATGTTCTGCATCCCACTTTGGTGAGTGGCGTCTTGGGTCTTAAAAGCTAGCAAGCGGCCATCTAAGATGCATCAATTGGTCCCAACCTACCTGGAGTAAAGGACAATGAGGAATACCATGGACACAAGGAAAGTATTAGCCCAAGAGACAGAATGGGCCACATAAACCAGAGACTTCATCAGCCTGAGACCAGAAGAACTAGATGGTGTCCAGCTACCACCAATGAATGTCCTGACAGGGAACACAACAGAGGGTCCCTGATGGAGCAGTAGAACGATGGGATGCAGAACTCAAATTCTAGTAAGAGGACCAGACTTAATGGTCTGACTGAGACTGGAGGTGCCCCGGAAGGAATGCCCCCTGGACTATCACCCCAGAACTAAAACAATTTCTGAGGCCAACTCTTCAGACAGGGATTGGACTGGACTGTGGGACATAAAGTGATAGTCATGAAGAATGTGCCTCTTAGTCAAGTAGATACAAGAGACCAAAGGTGCAGCTTCTGTCCAGAAGACAGATGGGAAGGCAGAGACAGGAGCTGGCTGAATGTTCATGGGGAATCAGGGATTGAGGGGAGGAGTGTGCTGTCGCAGAATGGGGTGAGTGGTAGGGGTCTCATAACAATGTAAGTAAAAAAAAAAAAAAAATTTTGTATGGAAGACTAACTTGAAATGTAAACTTCATTTAATTACAACAATGAAAAGAAAAAGAAGAACAAATTTAGGTTTAGTTCTTACCTCTAAAGGCACCTGCAGTATTCCAACCAGCTGCTTGGCCAGCTGCATGTGGTACTGTGTGCCTGAGCCATAGGTTTCCCTGGTAACTGGGTTAGCAATTCCCATGCTCAGCAAGTAGGATTTAAACCTGATTGTCTATACGACAGGAGAAAATGCACAAAAAGACTATATAAAGAATCAGTCCTCCCTGCCCTCAACATTTCAAATGCTTCAAGCAAAAATTCAATTCTACTCAGTATTTCTTTATTCACCCATTTCTTCTACTATGTGTCTATGCTGTAAACTGTAAGGAAGCAGGTTTCTAGTAGTTCCTTGGAGAAATCTAATCATTCTTCCTCTTTCTACTACCTTGGCATCTCATATTCCGTTTACCTCACAAGTTTTGGTGCCAGAGATTCAGGTAGCAACTATGCTGTATTTAATGCTAACCAAAGGATACGACCTGAAACTTAGAAAGGAAAATGGCTGTGATGAGACTGTAGACAAATTTAATGAAAAAAATATCAAAACTTACATAAGCCACTCCTTAACACATTTCAGTATCTGTTTTCTATACTCCATGAGAAGGTATTGAAATCACCTTTAATCCTACTAGCCCTTAACAAAGTTTTTATGGCTGGCTCTGTCTTTGGCACTTTCACTTATCCTCAAGTCCTAGACGAAATAAAACACTACGTTATGAAAGAAAACTGGTAAACCACCAAAATATCATTGTGTCATTTATGTAATCTAGTTTCTCAAGCCTTAAAAAAGCAACCTATTTACCTCATCTTCTGTGATGTCACCTTGTTTCTCTTTAATTTTATTAGCAATTGACTTTGATAACTCCACCATTTCCTTAGCCTGTCAAGAAAAAAGAAGACCTCTAAAATACTGTCTCCAAAGTGTCTGCTAACAAAATATGTTTTCGAAATTGTACCATAATTGACATGAATTTAGTGGTCTAAAGGGCATATACCTTGATCATGAGCTTGCTGAGGTCTTCAAAGGCCTGAAATGAGAAATGAATTTGTGTTAGAATAGACCTTTTTAAGGATTAAAATGTTTTAAAGCAATGAAGCACTCTATTTTATTCCCTATGATAAAAATTTATGAAATTTTCTTATAAATACCAGTTTATTTATATAAACATTTAACACTGTTATTGTTGTTAGGTGCCACTGAGTCGATTTCGACTCATAGCGACCCCATGTGACACAGGAGAACTGCCCCAGAGGGTTTTCTAGGCTGTAATCTTTACGGGAGCAGATCATCAGGTCTTCTCCCCTGTGAAGCGGCTGGTGAATTCAAACCGACGACCTTTCTTTTCGTTAGCAGCCTTACATTTAACCAATGTGCCACCAAGCCTCCTATCCAAGTAATAAATCTACCTCATTCTAATAATTTTATTTATACATTTTCCAAAACAAACTGCAAAAAACTTTAAATTTTCAAAGAGAAAATAGTTATTATTGATCAAACAAATAAAAGGTAATATCAGTAATCGTTCAGAAAATATTTACTGTTCTTTGACACAAGTAAGACATTTGTCATTGGTTTTTCCCCAAAATCATTTCCTGACAGGAAGTCAGGAATCAAAGGCATTGCACAGCGTTCCTGGCTGAAATGGCCACACATAGCTGTAGGAACACCCCTCTGGGTACAATAATTTTGGCTTTTAGCAGGTGTGATTTAACTGAAGCAGTAAGCCCCAGCCTCTTAGTAAGAATACACCGTAATTGTAGTTTTGAGTATGGCCGATATTGCAAAAGGAAAACATTCAGACACTATCAAAAATTAAACAAAACCCATCAATTGTTTAATTTACTACAGTGAACATCCACTTCAAAGACTTCTTCAAACTTAAACAGGCATATTTATAATAAACTATGCCAAGTTACTGAAAATACACCTCCAGTGCAGAATAGTTTATGTCTATCTTATGAAGCACAGATGTTATTTTTAAAAACCAACTAAGCACCTTGTCATTAACTGAAAAGCCTTTCAGTCTACAATAGGGGCCAGCAGGCTTTGATCAGCTTATGCCCATCTTAATTACTTGCAGGAAAGTATCCCCAGCTGCAAAAAGATTTTGCTAAAAGAATAGAGTGTCATGTAAGATTCTTGTGGCCAACTCACTAAGGCTAATACTGAAAACAAAGGGAAATGTGCACACACCTAACAGGAATTTCCTCAGATAAACAAAAGGCTTAAACATGGGACTCTTATCAGCAACACACAGCAGATGCAGGAAACCTTTTGTGGGAAACTCTGGGCACCAGTTGCAAACCTAAGTCAATTCTAACATTCAAATTAAGGGCAAATCACATACCAACCGAGCTCTCAAAACTGAAGCACACAAACATTTTACACACTTAGATTTTTACTTTCAATATACAAAATATTATTAGATTTCTTTTACCTGTATAAATAAAATAGGACAACCCTTTAAAATTTTATATGGTAAACCACTTTATTTATTGTATTATATTTTCAGAGGAAAAATATGCTAAAAATAAGAGTGAATCCACAGAGAATACAAAAACTAGCCCTTATTGCTTATAAGAATGGTTAATGAAAAATGAATATAGTGTCTTAGAAGGTTTATATTTTAAGTAATTATAAAATATGAACAAAAGCATCCTCATTTCTATCTTTCTTATTATTCTAGAATTTGGAATTAGCCAAATGTCCAAAAAAACGGGTGGAGAAACTACCTACAATAAAAACAAAAGCAATTCATGTGGAAACGCAAAACAGAGGCACACGCCCATTCACTGCTTTTTCTACCAGTTTATAAAGCCTCCCACCCCTCTGTCATGTCCATAGTCAAATTTCCTCTCCAATTTTGAGGAAAATGGCATCTGCTTCATAACTATAGGGTATCCTCTTAAGATGACTGAGAGCATTCTTACTGACTTTCAGTCATTAGTTATTAGCTTCAGTAAACATTAATATATTCTTGAATATTCTGTTCCAGTACTCTTGATTCTGTGTATTTGCATATTCCATTCCCCTTGCCTGGATCCCTTTTAGCCCTACTGGTCACCTGTTAGCACCTGCCCATCTTTTAGGCCTTGACTTTGATGTTACTCTGTAAACAAGCCTTCCCTAACCCCCAAAGTCAGGGGCCATTCTATGTGTTTCTGTGGAACCCTGCATTTCCCTCAAGTGTGGCATTTCTCGCACTGGAGAGCACACCTGTCTGCCTGCCTGTGTCTGGCGTATCACCGCAGCACCCACAGCATCTGGTCGGGGCCTGGCACAGAGAGCAAGAACAGTCGCTAAATAAATCAATGACCTGCATGATAAAGCATGCGGCTTGTGCAGAAAATCTTTTGAAAACTGCACCTCCATGAAAAGTAGACTGAAACAGAGTAACTTATGTCATAAATAAGAAAAACAGTATTGTGAACGTAACAGCAGATTAGTATGGCAACATCCAAAAAAAGGAATACAAATGATGCAAAATTAGCTCACCATTCCATGCCCTCTTTTAGCAGGTGCGACTTAACTGAAGCAGTAAGCCTCAGCCTCTTAATAAGAATAGAGCGTAATTGTAGTTTTGAGTACGACACAAAGGATGACAAGGAGAGTCACTGGAAGAAAGAGGGCAGGGAGAGCACCTTGTCCCTGAGCTGGCTGGCGAGGGGTGGCACAACGTGGTGAGGTGCACACCTGCCTGCAAATTCGGATGCCCGGGTTCTCATCCCGCGGTGAGTGCGAGGGGCCGTCAGCAAGGCCCGAGGGCTGACACGTCCTAGCCCCTAGAACTCTCAAAATTGACCTGGCCGCCCAGGACAGAATCCGTCCCGAGGAGAAACTACAGGAAGAAGAATTAAAAACTGAGCAAGGTAAAGACAATAGAGAGGAAGGAAAATGAAGGTCTAGATAAAAATGGGGGATGGGAAGAGAGCCAGGAAACCACAGAGAGGAACTGCCATTTTTTTAACATTGCTTGGAGCAGCAGAGGAGGGAACCCTGGGAAATAAGAAAAGCTACCCTGAACTAGGCCTCCCTCTAAAGTTCAGGAAAATCAATTTCACATAAGAATTAAAGTACCAAGGTAAAATCCCACACAAAGTCATAAGAAAAAGGAAAAGGTAGAATAACATTCTACCCACTATAAAAGCATGCCGGAAAGACATAGCCACAGATCAGATCAAAACTAAACCTTCTAATTCAAAATGAGCTAAAACGTGTTAAGGAAATCACACAAGATATGAAAGGACAATGTAAACAAAAAATCAGATGACAGGATTCAGGAGAGAATTAAAAAGAAAAGAGAAAATATCTTTTCAGAAATAAAAACTACACTAGACAGAACACCAGTGACTAAACACAGCAGAGAACACCTTAAGAGAGACAGAAGAGGAATACTTTCTAAAGAAAAAACAAAGATAAAAAGAATTTGAAAGACAGTCACAAATAGTGAAGATAAGCAGTAAAGATGCAACATACAGCTAATAGAGTCCCTGAAAATGAAAACTAAAGCAATTACTGAAAATTATAATACAGAAAAACAGCCCTGAAATTAAAAAAAAAATTCCTTTTGAAACTGTATCTTGAAAAAGCACATTGTGTATCTGCAAATAACACCCAGAGTAATATACAAACACATTCTACTAAAATTACTAGACTTTAAAGAGAAAGAAAAAAAAAAATCCTTTGGGAATCTAGACAAAAAACAGCAAGTAACTTTTAATGGGAAAAATAAGATTATCAGACTCTTCAACAGTAACACTTCATGTCAGAAAGGGAAAAAAAAAAAAATGAAGTAACATATTGAAGGCACTCAAGGAAAGATGTGAGAGCCAAGGATTCTAAAACCAGCAAAGCTGACTTTCACATGTAAGGAACACGACTGTTATCATCATGCCAGAGATCGAGGGAATACTATTCCCATGAGCACTTCCCGAAAACATCTACTAAAGAATGAGCCTCAGATAACCAAAATGACCAGAGGGGGCTCAATGTAAGACAGGTGGTGAGTATTAAACACATAAAACCCAACCAATCGCCCTCGATTTCAACTCACAGTGACCCTATAGGACACAGCAGAACTGCCCCATAGGGTTTCCAAGGCTGTAATTATTTACAGAAGCAGACTGCCACGTCTCTCTCCCACGGGGCGGCTGGTGGGTTCAAACTGCCCGACCTTTTGGTTAGCAGTTGAGTCCTTTAACCACTGTGCCACTAGAGCTCCTTATTAACCATATAAACCAAAACCAAACCCATTGCCATCAAGTCAATTCCTACTCCTAGCGACCCTATAGGACAGAGTGGAACTGCACCATATGGTTTCCAAAGAGCAGCTGGTGGACTTGAACTGTCAACATTTTGGTTAGCAGTCGAGCTCTCAAACACGGCACCACCAGGGCTCCATTAAATATACAGTTACTTATAAAACTTGAGACTAAATGAGGGCTAAAGGGGAAAGGGTATGCAGTGGCCAAATGCTCAGACAACACAGACACAGTTCACCTATTTTTAATGTGAGAACAGGGGGAGTATATACAAAAAATTCTTTTTACCTATTTCAGTAATTATTTAGTATTATTGTCCTGAATTTGAATAAGAAGCATCAATATGATCCAATGAGGTTCATTACACTTAAAAACAAGTCCTGGTCTTGTCCACTGAAAAGGCATTGCCTCTACTTTTGTCAAAGGGATCATTAGCATAATTGGGTGGTGTCTGGCCAAGGTTAATGGTCACAGAATAGCATTTTTCTCTCAATTAAGTTAGCCAAGGTTCCAAAATAATTATATAGAAGAGCCTGAATTCATTATGAGTATTTGCCCATCAATTCCATCTACAGTTGAAATTTACACACAACATTTTATAATGTTTTCTAACATCACAGAAAACAAATTTGTCTTTTTTTTTCCTTTTTAGAAAAAGCTTTTTAAAACATGTTTTGGCTAAATTGAGATACAACTGTAAAATGGAATTGGTGACTACATGGCTTCAGGCAAATGAAGTATATTCCAAATTACAGAATGCAATCAGTCGCAGCTGTATCAAAAAGCATAAACATAAATGGCTGAAAAAGATACCTGACCAAAACTTGTGTGTTACCTCAGAAATGTTCTTGTCAGTTTCTTTTCTTTTTTCTTCCAGTTTTCTTTCAATACCTACAATTCCTACAGCCCTTATTCTTCCTGACTGAAAAACAAAAGTAGAAAGTTACATATACATATATACACACAATATATATACACACACACACACATATTGGAAGGAAACAAAATCTTTTCTAGTCCACCACATTGTGTTTTCAATGGCGGGAAAGGACCTACTAAAAACAAAGAAAAACAGCATACAATTACATCTAGCTTCCTTTCAAAATATTTCTTACCATACAGAATGATCCTCAAATCATTGAAGAAAAAATTAACATAAAATAAAATAGTATATTTTACCCTGCATATTAGATGTAAATTATGTGTGCTATTCATTTTTGTTCCTTGGAAGCTATTCTGTATCAGATTTTTAATAGGGTCCCAAATGTTCAAAAAATTGTGGTTAAAATTTTGGCACCTGACAGTATACAAGCTAACTGCATCCACTTGAGTGCCTGCTCACATTGGTGATTAACTTAGACTAGCCTGCAGATCATCACCGAGCAATGATGTCTGTTCTTTTGGATGTTTGCTCTTGACTACAAAGAACAAAAAGCAGTGAGTGGAACCTTCCACCACAATGAGAATTACTCTGGTAAGGAATCACTTATGCTTATGAAGTGCCTACTGTCTCAGGAGCACTAAATTAGGTGCTGGAAATAGATTTATAATCAGAATATTATTTGGTCTCTGGCAAGTTCTATAAACAGTCATTTCCTTAATGAAGATGTAAGAAAGCATGGAGCTGAAAATACTGTATTAACAAACAGTTTAAAAAAATACCTGGGGTCTTCTATTTGTTTGTAATGACTGGGAAACCGGCATAGTCTCCCATCTTCTCTGTGTCATTTCCTCTGATAGACGCCTGTAAAACTTTTACATAAATGCAGACACTTTCAATGAGTCACTTCGTGTCATCCTCGTACAAATCATTACTCAACATTTCTTCAGTTCAAAGGTCTGTTCAGTCACTTGCAACAAGTCTAGAATTCTCAGACACATCAAAGGAAGTTCTTTTCTTGGATCAACCTCAGAAAGCACAAAGGAAAAAAAACAGAAGGAACTAACCTTCCATATAAAGTGGGCTATTCTTAACAAAGGGATAAGTGACAATGAAATAAGTAGATTTACTTTAACCAATCCTGCGTATGTGGGTTGTTTTCAACCTATAGCGAAATAAACACAGTGCCAGGAAAAACACACAGCCATTTTCCATGAAGGAAGCAGAAAATAATTTGTCTACTTAAAATTGGAAGCCAGAAGTGAGGGCCAAAATGTCTATACTCACAAAAAGTCAAACGTTTTTCAACTACAGAGACAATGACTTCAGTCACTTGTATTTGCTTAGCGCCTATTGTGTGAAGAGCACTGGCTGAGGGGCTGCAGGAAAAAAATATATGAATAATTCATGGTATTGATGGGAATATAAACATACACTTGGAAATGTCTTAAGAACACACTTGTACAGTAACTTATCCATCAGACATATAAACTATTATACTGTGGAATCAGTACTAGGGTGATTAGATCTGTATAGAGTTAATCAAGATAAAAGACTACCTGCCTGAAGGATGGTGAGCTTCCAGATACTGAGGTGATATAATGTTTCACTGCATCACACTCTGTCCCTTTACCAAACTGTACCACTGAAAATGTTACAATCATTAGCATATTTCCATCCTCTGTGACTGCACCCCCCTGCTTTCTTTTCCTACTGTAACCTAAACTTCATATTCCCCACTCTTTGATAAGGCTTAAGATATCATAAAAAATTTATTGTAAATATATAGTGAAACATGGTATACTGCACAATATTGCCTTCCATCATAACAAGCAACAAAAAAATGCACACACACACATTTCCAGGCCAATTTTATTTATACAGAAACTCACCTCAATCTGGCCATGTTCTCTGAAGGAGAGTTTGATGTAGGAATTCTTACTACTCTGGAATGGACCAGGTTCTTTGTTAGGAGGAGCTGGGTGAAGATGAACCACTATTTTGGCACTAAACAAAGAGCAAATATAATGTATTTAATTGCCTTTAAAAAATCATCAATTCCATTTTCATAAATATTAATATATTTCAGATCACCTTTAAAATTCATACAGAAACAAAGACTATCTGAGAGCATTCTTTTAAAAATTTTACTAATTCAGTGAATAACACACAAACTACCAATGTGTCAAGGAAGAAAGCAAAAGAGAAATGACAAATTTCTTAGAGTCAAATAAAAATGAAAGCACAACACACCAAAATTTATGGGACGCAGCAAAGGCAGTACTCAGAGGGAAACTTATAGCAATAAATACCTATATAAAAAAAGAAGAAAGATCACAAATTAACAGCCTAACTCAAGAACTTCAGGAAATAGAAAGAGAAGAGCAAACTAAGCCCAAACCTACCAGAAGAAAGGAAATAACAAAGATTAGAGCAGAAATAAACAATATCAAAAACAGTAAAACAATAGAGAGAATCAATAAAACCAGAAGTTGGTTCTTTGAAAAGATCCATTAAATTGACAAACCTTAGCTAGACTGAAAAAGACAAGAAGAGAAAAGATGCAAATAACTAAAATAAAATATAAAAGAGGGGACATTACAACTGACCCAACAGAAATAAAGAGAAATGTGACAGAATATTACGAACAACTGTAAGAAACAAACGATAACCTAAATGGGATGGACAAATTCTCGGAAGCACACAACCTACCCAAAGTGACTCAGGAAGAAACACAAAGTCTGAACAGACCTGTAACACAGACGAGACTGAATCAGTGATCAAAAACCTCCAAAAAAAAAAAAAAAATCCAGGACAGGTGGCTTCACTGGGGCATTCTACAAAACATTTTAGAAAGGAATTGGCACCAATACTGCTGAAACTCTTCCGAAAGATAGAGAAGGAAGGAATACTCTCTAATTCATTCTAGGAAGCAAACATAACGCTGATAACTCAAGTCAAAGACACCACAAGAAAAGAAAACTACAGGCCAATATCTCTTATGAATATAGATGCAAAAATCCTCAACAAAATACTAGTGAACAGAATCCAACAGCATATTAAAAGAGCCATACAACATGACCAAGTGGGATTTATTCCAGGAATGCAGCGGTGTTTCAACATTAGAAAACCATTAAACGTAATACATCACATCAATAGAACAAAAGAACCAAATGATCATCTCTGTGGATGCAGAAAAAACATTTGATAAAATCCAACACCCCTTCCAATGAAAACCCTAAAGAAGACTGGAATAGAAGGGAAATTCCTCAATAGGATTCAGGGCATGTATGAAAAGCCAACAGCCAACATTATACTTAATGGAGAAAGACTGAGAGCTTTCCCCTTGAAATCGGGAACAAGACAAGGGTGCCTGTTCTCACAACTTCTATTCAATAGTGTATTAGAAGTCCAAACCAGAGCAATAAAACAAGAAAAAGAAATAAAAATTATCCAGATTGGAAAAGAAGAGGTAAGATTATCTCTATTTGCAGATGATATGATCCTATATACAGAAAATCCCCCAGAGTCCACAAGAAGACTTTTAAAGCTATTAGAAGAATTTAGCAGAGTTGCAGGGTATAAGGTCAACAAACAAAAATCAGTTGTGTTTGTATACACTAGCAAGGAGAAATCAGAAAGAGAAAGTAGGGAAACAATTCCATTTACAACAGCATCTAAAAAAATAAAATACCTAGGAATATTTCTAACCAGGGACATGAAGGACTTACACAATGCAAAGTACAAAACACTGCTAAAAGAGATTAAAAAAGACTTAAATAAGTGGGAAAATGTTCCATATCCATCGATTGGAAGACTTAATATTGCTAATTGTCAATACTACCAAAAGCAATCTATAGATTCAACACAGTCTGGATCAAACTTCCAACAGCCTTCTTTACGGAAATAGAAAAAACCAATCCTCAACTTTATATGGAATAGCAAGAGGCCCCGAATAGCTAAAACAATGTTGAAAGGGAAGAACAAAGTAGGAGGACTCACACTTCCTGATTTTAAAACATAGTGTACAGCTACAGTAATCAAAACAGCCTGGAACTGGTATAACAATAGACATATAGACCAATGGAATAGAATTGAGAGCAGAAAGAAACCCACACATTTATGGTCAACAGATTTTCCACAAGGGTGTTAAGTCCATTCGATGGGAAAAGAAGTGTGCCTTCAATAAATGGTGCTGGGAAAACTGAATTTCAACGTGCAGAAGAACGAAACAGGATCCATGCCTAACATCATACACAAAAACAAGTTCAAAATAGATTAAAGACCTAAATATGCAAATTAAAACCATAAAATTCTTAGATGAATAAGCAGGGGCAATGCTGTCCGGCCTAGCATTCAGCAATGGATTATCTAATAAGAAAAGCAAAAACAGCAAAAGACAAAATAAATAAATGGGACCTCATAAAAATTAAAAACTTTTGTTCATCAAAAGATTTTACAAAAAAAAAGTGAAAAGACAAGTTACTGAGTGGATGAGTATCTTCTGAAACCATGTATCTGACAAGAATCTAGTAACCAAAATATATTTAAAACTTCAACAACTTAACAACAAAAAGACAAATAACCCAATCATAAAATGGGCAAGGTACCTGAACAGACATTTCACCAGAGAACATTCAAATAGCCATCAAACATATAAAAGATGCTCAGCATTATTAGCCATCAGAGAGATGCAAATCAAAACCACAATGACATACCATTTTCACTCCCACTAGGATGGCTAAGATAAAAACAAACAGAAAATAACAAATGTTAGCAAAGATGTGGGGAAACTGGAACAGTTATCCATTGCTGGGGGGAATGTGAAATGGTACGGCCGTTGTGGAAACATGTCGCAGTTCCTCAAAAAACTAAAAATAGAACTACTATATCACATGGAAATTCCACTCCTAGGTATATACCCAAAAGACTTGAAAGCAGAGACTCAAAAAGAGACTTGTTCTATTTACAATAGCCAAAAGGTGCAAAAAATCTAAATGCTCATCAACAGGTGAATGAATAAACAAAATGTGGTACATACATACAATGGAATACTGTTCAGCCAGTAGGAGAAATGAAGTCTAGATACATGCTACAGCATGGATGGAACAGGAAGACAATATGCTGAGCAAAATTAGCCAATTACAAAGCGGCAAATACTGTATGACCTCGCTTTTATAAAAAGACAAGAAAAGGCAAACATGTAGAGACCAAAGTTTATTAGTAGTTACCAGGGGCATGAGGGAAGGGGTAAAGGGGGGTTAACAGTGATGGAAAAACAACATTGATTTAAGGTAGGGTTGCACAGGTAATTATTCTAATTGCTGTCAATAAGTTATACACCTGTAAAAAGTTGAATTGGTAAAAGTTGTGTGGTAGATATATTTACAACAATGACAAAAAAAAAAAAAAGAGTAGCTGCTGAGGCTGGTTATATACAACCAAAAACCTCATGAGATTTGGTTTCTTGATTTGGAGTTTCAGGGTCATGATTTTACGGGACATCCCAGTTAACTGGCAGAATAATGTGTTTAGTGCTTCTGTTCTACCTCCTACTTCGTTTCGTAGTGCCTGGGGTCTTAAAATCTTGCAAGCGGCCATCCCAGGCACAACAATTGGTCTCTATTCACCTGGAACAACAGAGGAAGAAGGAGAGTCATAAATAAGAGGAAGATATGGAATGTGTAGCCAATTGCCTCTATGAACAACTGCTTCCTTTGCCATGAGACCAGAAGAACGGGATGGTGACCAGCTACTATTACAGTAAATTTTGATGGAAAATTCCACAGAAGAATCCTGATCAAAAGGGGGGAAATGCAGAACAGAATTTAAAATTTACATGGAGGATGGATGAACACCTGAAACTACTGCCCTGAGATAATCTTTAAACCTTAAACCAAAAATAACCCCCGAAGTCATCTTAAAACTAAACAACAGCCTAGCTTAACTAGTAAAAAAAAAAAGTCTGCCTTGAGCATTATATTCTTTAAAGAACTATCTAGAGGCTGTCCAAGATGGTGGACTAGTCAGATGCTTCACAACATCCCTCTTACAACAAGGACCCAAGAAAGCAAGTGAATTGGATATAGATGACAACTTTGGAACCCAGAGCATCCAAGACAAGGTTGAAAAATTGAACTGAGCACCAAGTGGAAGGAGAGACAGTACAAAAACAGCGGACATGGAGAATTACAAATCACCAACACCTTGCTAGCCAAATCTGCACGGCACAGCCATACTGAGACAAAGCAAGCAACGTTCCCAGGCAAAAGCCCCAGCACCTGGTGCATCCAAGCAGGAGTGACTCCACACTCACATCCAGAGCCAGGCAGGAATGCTTCCTGTCTGTGAAAGTTAAGTGCACATACCACACTCACGGCATCCACCCCAGGCCCACATGCCAAAGGCCTGCATACCTCTGGGACTCCCCAGCACTCTCTGCCCATCCCCCGTCCTTGCACATGATCCCAGTCCAGCAGCACCCACCATCACCCTGGCCCTAAGCTGGGAGCCCATGGACTGGAGGCGCCCGCCCCTCCATTCAGCTATCCACTCTCGGGGCCCACGGACCTGCAGCACGTCATACTCCCTCTGTCCACCCGCTCCAGGGGCCTAAGGTCCAACAGCGCCTCCTACTCCCTCTGTACACCAGCACCACGGGCCTGAGGATGACAGTACCTGCTACTCGCTACAGCCACCTGTGCAAGGGGACCAAGAACCAGCTGCACAACCTCCCTAGTGACATGCTGTAGCAGGCAGAAGCATCCCTAAACCGGATCTCCGTGGACAGGCAACATCCCCCCTGCCTCACCCTCCCCCCAAACTGCCCCACCCCCACAACCAGAGGCCAGTGCCTGCTCGGAGTAACCCCCAAACAGCTCTGCCTGCCTGGAACCGTTGGTGAGAGTTTCTGCACGACCCACCCAGTGACCTATAAAATTTTTTTGCTCTGTAAACTTACACCTAATGCACAATAAACAATTTTTTTAAAAAAGAACTATCTATATGGGATCAAACTGACAACAACCAACACGAGAGATCAGATGGGAACCTTAGGGGCAGTGAGTTTTTGTTAATGAGGGAAGAACAACTCAGAAAAGGAGGGTGAGAATGGTTGCATGGTTGTACAACTTGAAGAATATAATCTATATCACTAAATTGTACTGTAGAAACTGCTGAATTGGTGTAAGTTTTACTGTGTATATTCTCAACAACAAAATTAACAAAATTTAGAAAAATTGTATTAATTCAGGATTAATGAACTTTTCAAGAAGATCTCTATTTAAAACTTACTATGAACCAAAAAGGAGCTCTGGTGGCACACTGGTTAAGAGCTCAGGCTTCCAGCCCAAAGGTCAGCAGTTCAAATCCACCAGCCACTCCTTGGAAACCCTACGGGGCAGTTCTACTCTGTCCTATAGAGTTGCTATGAGTCAGAATCAACTTCACAGCAATGGGTGTTTTTGTTGTTGTTGTTATGAACCAAAAAATTTCCACTTGCTAGCTCTATGGATTAAATACAAACATGGTTTTAGAAAATAAGTTCAAAGTAAATTTGCTAAATTTTGGGTGGTAGATGATTAGGGTTTTCCATCTATAGAGTCATCCCCAGAGGTTCCAAGGGGGCTTGTAATTTCTGCCAAAGCACACTACCTTACTCATTTGAAAACAAAATGTGAAAATTTATCTGTGCAAAACTGACCAGCTGACATTTTATTAAAACTCCATCCAAAACTAACATTCTACTGTATTGTTTGTTGGAAAATGCCACTCGATCAACAGCATGATCTAGAAAGATACTCAATTGCAAAAACAATTCTCAAAATTGTTTTTGCTCTAGGAAAATAAACTACCATTATATTTATGAATACCACTATCTTCTATGCTATTAAAAATATCCCTATAATTGTTTGGCTTTATAAATGTTTTTCTCTTCTTTTTCTCAACCTGCTCATTAACGCTCTTTTATAAAGATAAGAAAAATTGAAAAAACTCATAAAGTCAAAATATCATGGATACCTAGTTTAGAGCTTTTTCTTTATGATCACATTATAGATACGCCTATTACTTAATTTTAATTTCCTTTGTTTAGGCCCATATGGTTACCTAAATATTACCATAAAATTGAAACACTGGGTTTTGGACCTTCTCAGTGTAATGAATGCTTTGGTTAGTGAACTGTGCCCAGCCTTGTAAGACCTCTTCATCTATTCCTTTGTGGTGAAAATCATTAAGTGAGGTGAGCAAATAAACTGTGCAAGCAGAATCATAGGACTGAAGTAAATCATTAAGTAAAGCAACAAAACTATGACAATCAGGGTAGGATGACTGAGCAAAAACATCAACAATCTGTAAAACTAAAAAACTTAAGCCCTACTATCAGATTCTGCCAAAGGAAATCCAATGAAAAGCTAAAAGACTATGATGCAAAATGAAGCCAAAAAATTCCAGAGCGGGCATAAAAGATCCATGCCATTTTTTCATATATTCATTTGTTGAGTCATTCAATTACCATATTTCATCAAATTTATAATCCACCAAAGAAGCATCTTGAGTTCAGAGAGATTAAAGGACAAAAGATATATACATCTCAGAATCTGTAGGGAAAAGGACTTAGATTTACCCTAAGGTGGCTTTTGTCCTTGGCCCTAGAGAAATAACCCTTGAAGTAACCACGGTGCCTTGATCTGGGACTTCAAGGCCACACCTGATAATCTGTGCTGCTGAGTAGGGGCTGGCCAGACCAGAAAAGACTCACTTGGGAGGCTGATATAAACTAGCCTCAGGAGGCATGATTCAGCCTATCATGCAAGACTGGCTGATAAAAGCCTTGCACATGGAAGTGTAGATAGCTTCCTGGTTGATGAGAATAACTGCTCTCAAGAGGGTAGCATGTCCCTTGGGACACGGAAACTTCACACTGGGAACTGTTCCAGACCTCGCCCTATGTGTCTCTTCATTTATATCCTTTTTGGCTATAATAAATCTGTAGTCGTAAGTATGGTATATGCTCTGTGAATTCTGCGTGTCATTCCAGTGAGTTCTTCAACCCAAAGGGGCAGTGAGAGCCAACAGGTCAGAAAGTAAGGGTGTTGTGTGGACTCCTGAGCTGGCAGCTGGTATCCTGAAAGGGTAGTAGGAAACCAGCCCAGAATTGGCAGCTAGCAGGTCAGAAGGTTGGGGTGTTGTGTGGACTCCCTAAAATCGCAGCCAGTGTCTGCCTATTTGGTAGTCTGAAGGACAGTGTCCTTTTAACTTGTGAGCTCTGACTTAGCTCTGCGTGACTAAGGTCAGAGACAGTGCAGCGGGGGTGGCTGGCAACGAGGATGGAGAAGTGGGAAGGCGAGAAATGGAGTAATCTCCACATTTTGGGGACTGGATGCATGCTTATCCTTACCGCACAGAACCAGTAAGATATGCTAATTGATTTGTTTTGATTTTTTTTTGGGGGGGAGGGGCCCTAGGATTAAAGAGAATATTTGAGAAAAGTTAACCTGGCATATTACTGAATTCCGCCTCACGAAGGATGTTTTAAAAAATACAGCATTAATGTGAAGACAAATATTGTAAATACTTTTGTTATAGAGTTCAGAATTTTCGTGGAACACAGCAAAGGAAAATTCAAATGATCTGGAACACCCTTAAAGTTTTACTTTCTATATCTTAGTAAAGATGGAGAAAAGTGAGTAATGGGGGAAATAGAAATTAAAGGAACAATTTACAAATCTATAGCTTATTCAACTTTTCACAATGTTGATTAGTTTCTTTTATGTCAAATAAAGGATCTTTTATAGTAGCTATAACAATACAATTAAGACGCACATTGCATTTCCAGTGAAATTCAACATCTGTTTAACTTCTACTGAAGCATCTAAAATGCCAAACCTAAAGAAGGACCTGTATGGGAAAAAAAAATCCATACTAGCAATATTCATCTCTAAGTCTCCCTCAATACATGCACTTAAAATGGAGAGCCAAAACTATTGGTATACTTCAATAAACAAAAACACTTGACCCTATAGCTTTAAGCCAGAGTGACCACGTCTCCTGATGTGCCTGGGTCCATCTGATTTTGTGCCTGTTGCACCGGTCTAATCATTAATAATACTCCCTATCACTCTTTTAAATGTCCCAGTTTAGACAATAACTAATATACTCTAACACTGATTCCTGAAAAAGTCAATGTTAGTTAATAAACTTAATGATCATCTAGAAATAGGAGCAAAGTCAGTTATTTTTCTCAGATGGGTCATTTCTGATTTTAAGTACTGAACAGCTGGTACACAGACATGTGAAAGCAAGTATCTGGAATATGGACAATGACAGCTGGCCCACCTCTATTTATAATGACCCAAGGATATCAAGGCAACTCTCTTGGGACTTTCTTCATGTTTTACGAATGACTGGCTATATCATGACACTAAAGTAGGCAAACACCTTCTTAAGGAGCTTGACTACATATTCCCACATAAGTGGTTACGGCACAGCAATAAATCAGCTAAGGTAAGGATAACGGCTTGACTGAAAACATCTTTTTGTGAATACAGACTGTAATACACAGAGCTTACCTTTTCCCAATTCCAGCCGCCTGTTCTTCAATGAACACAATTTGAGAAAGAGGAATGGCCATGCAGCATTCCTAGGAAGAAATCAATAGAAAACAAGACTCTTAAGACTTGTCAGAAAGCCTTGGTTTGTAGCATTTAATAGAGTGTCATTTACATATAAGGTATTTAATAATGAAAATAATAAAAAATTTTATTTTATTCCTTATATAAACTTAAAGAAAAATTAAATAAAAGCAATAGTGCGATGGCATCTCGCTGTCTGGAAGAACATCAAAGTTAAGTTTAAATGCAGCTGTAACTACCTTTGTTTTTATAGTAGGTATTTTTTTTTTTTATTCTGGCAAAACATATATTTAAAAAATTGTTGTTTTAGCAACTCATAAGGTTTGATGGGAAAAGGAACCACCAAACTGTTCACCACAGCAGCTGCACCATTTTACATCCCCACCAACAAAGCACAAGGATTCCAATTTCTCCTCATCCTCGCCAATACTTGGTATTTTCCATTTTTCTGATAACAGTCATCCTAGTGGGTATGAGGAGCACTGGTGGTGCAGTGGTTAAGAACTCGGCTGCTAATCAAAAGGTCAGCAGTTCAAATCCACCAGCCACTCCCTAGAAACCCTATGGGGCAGTTCTACTCTGTCCTATAGGGTTGCTATGAGTTGGAATCCAGACAATGGCAATAATTTTTTGTTTGTTTTTTTAATTGGTTTATGAATATGAATAGTAGGTATATTTTTTTAAAATAATATTTATATGAAAACATTTTCATGTAATATTTACTTATATGGAAAACAAAAATTCAAACAGATAAATCCAAACAATTTTAAGGAGTGTGTTACATGGGTGATTTTTCTTCTTCTTTATAATTTTCTATTTTTCACCTCCAAATACATACAATTTTTAACAAAAAATACCGACATAGCTTCCCTTTAACAGTACATCTAATTAAAAAAATATTATATATTACTAACAAGTAACAGGTCTAAGGATTTCTCCAAATTGGCCTCTTCATATGATAATCAAAAAATTATATTAAGATTAATTAGTTTATAAACATATGGTTTAAGGACAACTTTCTATCATAAAAAGATTTCTTTACAGAATGTATATTTCTTTTTAAAGAATTAAATAGTATTAGGAGTCTAGAGCATGCACTCTTGATAGGGGAAAAACTGTACCCAAGGGGGCAAAATTTGGTTCTTGCAGAACAAAAAAAAAGTCTTAGTGTTATGATTAAAGGCCTTTGAAAGGGCCAAAATAGAGTATATAGTTTACCTGTGCTATTAAAATTTCATGGGGTAGGATGGCACTATTAGGAAAAAAAACATACACGAGATAGCTTATCTTACTGGCAACACTGAAATTTATGTATATATACATACTTTCAAATTAAAGCTCTTGGATTAGAGATATCAGCTCTACATACATATAACCTGCTCTCCATTCCCAAAATTAGAAAGGGGGGTCTTCCTCTGGCTGAGTGACCTAGACGCAGTTCCTCTGAACATCTAGGTAAAAGTATGCATTTCATGGCAGAACTATCCACTTGATTCTCACCAACAACCTGGGAGAGAACCCCTCACAACTAATGACGGGTTCTTACACAAGGAACATTCAGGGATGGAGTGGGATTTGACTGGTGATAACAAAAAAGGAGTCACCATGATCTCACACCTAGTAACTACGCAAGCTTTTCTAGAACCGAACGACGGACAACACCCTAACTCTTCTGCCTGCACTCCATCCAGGGAGCTCACGTGACAACACCCTAACTCCTCCGCCCACGCCCACGCTCCACCCAGGGAGCTGACGTGACAACACCCTAACTCCTCTGCCCGCACGCCATCCAGGGAGCTCACGTGACAACACCCTAACTCCTCTGCCTGCACTCCATCCAGGGAGCTCACGTGACAACACCCTAACTCCTCTGCCTGCACTCCATCCAGGGAGCGCACGTGACAACACCCTAACTCCTCCGCCCGCACTCCATCCAGAGAGCACATATAGGGTATACTCCTTTGACATTATGAATATGAAAATTTACTGCATTTATTTACAGTTTTGCCAAAAAGGAAAAGAAAAACCTTAGTGATTTTAAATGTAGAACAGATGCAAAAAACTGGCTTACATGGTTTTTCTGATCTCTCCAAATCAGTCGGTGTGTACTAAGAAGGAGGGTCCCAGTGTCAAATTTCATCTAGAAAGATAAGATCATCACAAATACTAATAACATGTCACTCAACGGTGTCCAGATGTTCTTGTGACTTATACAATACTAAGTTACTCATATGCATAAACATTTTAGAATTAACTTTATCACAAATTGAAGACAAGCAATGGTATACACTTCATAAACTTAAGTTTTATATACATAGACAACTTTGATAGAATTAGGAACAAATTGAAAACAAACGAAACGTGTAACAATAGGACAGTGGTTAAATATATTATGATACATCCATAATAGGGAATCCACACAGAGGTAAAAAAGAACAATGAAGCAGAGCTATATGGACTATCGTGGAACTCTAAGACACAGAGTTAGTGAGAAAAAAAGCAATCTGCAGCATATCACATAAAATATAATCATATATCTATCCCAACAATATGTGTGATACATACATATACACACACAATGTATTTTCACACAAATAATGCACACATTATACGTTTTTTGCCAAGCACACCCCACCTCCACGTGTTATTTTCCTAAGGCACTATGCCATTTTTTTTTTTTACATGTTGCTGACATCTACTTTTATTTCTGATCACATGGAAACTTAAGGTAGGTATTGATTTTGTATTGTTTGAAATATAAGCCAAAAGTATTTATCAGTAGATCAAAAGTGGTATACAAAATTTAACTTTTGTAATTTCCTGATAAAACATCACCATCATTCTCATGAATGGAGCAGTGGACACCATGTTGAAACCAAAGAGTATGAATGCACAAAGAACTACAAAAGTAACATTTTCAGACTACCTTTATACACAAAAGCAGGAGATGAAAGAAAATGAACAGAACAATATCCATCCCTATGGGGCGGTTCTACTCTGTCCTATAGGGTCGCTATGAGTCAGAATTGACTCAACAGCAATGGGTTTGGTTTTTTTGGGGGAGTGGTAATATGAGAGGTTAGGTGAATGAGGCCAAAATTCACATCTGGATATGTCACAAACATACACAGTATATGCATGTGCATGCTATGCCAGAAATGTTTTACTTAATTTCATCATTTCCACACGTTATACGTGTGGGCACATTATTTGCAAAAATGTGTCATTATATATATATACACATACATATATATATGGTGGTGCAGTGGTTAAAGTGCTTAGCTGCTAACCTAAAGGTCAGCAGTTCAAACCCACCAGCCACTCCATGGGAGAAAGATGTGGCTCCTGTAAAGATTTACAGCCTTGGAAACCCTATGAGGCAGTTCTATCCTGTCCTATAGGGTTGGTGTCTTAGTTATCTAGTGCTGCTATAACAGAAATACCGCAAGTGGATGGTTTTAACAAAGAGACACTTATTCTCTCACAGTCTAGGAGGCCAGAAGTCCAAATTCAGGGTGTCAGCTCCAGAGGAAGCCCCCCTCTCTCTCTCTCTCCGTCAGTTCTGGGGGAAGGTCCTTGTCATCAATCTTTCCCAGTCAAGGAGCTTCCCCATGCAGGGACCCTGGCTTCAAAAGATGCACTATTCTCCTGGCTCTTGTTTCTTGGTGGTATGATGTCCCCAGGTGTCTCTGCTCACTTCTCTCTTTTATATCTCAAGAGACTGACTTCAAACACAACCTAATCTTGTAGATTGAATCCTGCCTCATTAACATAACTACCACTAATCCTACCTCATTAACATCATAGAGATAAGATTTACAACACATAGGAAAATCACATCAGATGACAAAACGGTGGACATTCACACAATACGGGGAATCATGGACTAGCCAAGTTAACAAACATTTTTGGGGGACACAGTTCAATCCATAACAGAAAGAGTCAGAATTAACTCAACGACAATAGGTTTTGTTTGTTTGTTTGTTTTATATACATATACACAAAACATCTATACATAAGTAATAGGAAAAGATCTAAAAACAATACACTGTGATCTGTTAACAATGATTACTTACCTCAGAAAAAGAGTGAGGGAGTGGGAGGAAGAGAAGCAAAGGGTCCTTTTTTTTACCATATTCATATTGACTAAATTGTTTTATAATGAGATTGAATTCATTTATAACACTTGTATAATTTTTTAAATAATTAAATAATAAAATCTGCAAGTATAAACACATACAAGACTATGGAGATTCAATAAATGGCACTGGGATAAATGGGTTTCCAGGTAAGAAAAAAGTACATAAAGTTGGACTTAGATATTTAACACAGGAGTCCTGGATGGCACAAATGGTTAAGGAGTCAACTACTAGCCAAAAGGTTAGCGGTTTGAACCTACCCAGAGGTGCCTCAGAAGACAGGCCTGGCAATCTGCTTCTGAAAGGTCACAGCCTTGCAAACCCTGTGAGTACAGTTCTATTCTGTACACATCGGGTCACGGTAAAGTCAGAATCGATTTGACAGCAACTAACAACAAGAATACCTAATGCACCGAACCAAAATTAATTCTAGATGGATGAAATATTTAAGAGTTATAAAAAAATTATAAAAGCACTAGAAAAAAACATGAATTTTAAAATAATCTCAGAGTACAGAAGGCTTTTCTAAGAAAGGTAGTCACTCCATTAGCACTAGAGAAAAAGATTGATAAATTCAACTACACACAGACATATACAAATTCTTCATAGACAAAGCACCAAAGGCAAAGATAAAAGACAGATATGCAGACTGGGAAAAATAAATGCAACTCACATCAGAAACAAAGGGCTCATTTCCATAAAATATATAAAGCACTCTTACAAATCAATGAGAAAACAGCCTGTCTTAGTCATCTAGTGCTGCTGTAACAAATACCACAAGCAGGTAGCTTTAATAAACAGAAATTTATTTTCCCAGAGTTTAGGAAGATAGAAGTCCAAATTCAGGGTGCCAGCTCTCTGTTGGTTCTAGAGGAAGGTCCTTGCCTTTTTTGAGTTTCTGATTCTGGGCGATCTTCACGTGGCTTGGCATCTATCTTTCCCCCACATCTGCTTCCTTAATCTCCTCCTTTTATATCTTGTAAGAGATTGATTCAAGACACATCCTACTCTAATCCTGTCTCATTAACATAACAAAGACAATCCATTCCCAAATAGCATTATAACCACAGGCATAGAGGTTAGGATTTACAACACATATTTTTGAGGGACACAACTCAATCCATAACATACCCTGTAATCCACTAAAGGAATGGGCAATTAGCAGCCAAGCACTTTAACCACTGTACCACCAGGGCTCCCTAGGAACAACCACATTGGAGCGCAACTTGTTAAGACCTGTCAAAATTATGACTATATCCAGTATTGCACTTCTATTGATCCAATAATTGCACTTCTAGGGATTTATCCTACAGACAAATTCACACGTATGCGAAGTATATTCTGTGCCATCTAGTCGATTCCAACTCATAGTAACAGAGTAGAACTACCCTAGAGGGTTTTCTAGGCTGTTACCTTTACGGAAGCAGATCTCCACATCTTTTCTTCAGAAGAGAAACAACCAACCTTTTGGTAAGCAGCCAAGTGCTTTAACCACTGCACCACCAGGGCTCCTTAAGATGATATATAAACCCTTTGCCTCGAGTAAATTCCAGCTCAGAGCAACCCTACAGGACGGAGTAGAACTGTACTACAGAGTTTCCAAAGCTGTAATCTCTCTCCCACGGAGCTGTTGGTGGGTTCAAACTGCCGACATTTCCGCTAGCAGCCAGCGCTTAACCACTGCACCAGGACACCTTAAGATGACATATAAAAATCTGTTGCCAGCGAGTTGATTCCAACTCACAGGGACCCTGTAGCACAGGGCAGAACCGCTCCATAGGGTTTCCAAGGAGCAGCTGGTAGATTCAAACTGCTGACCTTATTGGTCAGCTGCTGAATGCTTAACCACTGCGCCACCAGCGCCCACTATGTTATTCATTGCTGTTTGTTTGTAAAAGCAAAAGACAGGAAACAATTTAAATGTCCATCAATAGGAATATGTACATCCACGCAATGCACTACTATGCATTCATTAAAAAGGATGAAAATACTTATTGTACATTTATGTACTTACTGTATTTGACAAAATCTAAATGCCACTGGCTGGAAGATGTACTCTAATTCAGAGTTGTTAAAAAGGTAAAAAAAAAAAAAAGTGCTTTCAATTGAAATACGGTATTGTTAGTAGATTGTTAAGTGGGAAAAGCAAGGTTGACAATAGTATGCGTAGTATATTACAAATTTATATTTTTAAAAGGAGACAATATATTTCACACAAATACTTATTGCATACATATATAAAGCTCTCTAGAATGATAACACTGGCTGACTCCGAAAAGAACTGGTAACCAACAGACAGGGTGGGAGGGAAACTTTTAACTTTACACTCTTTGGGGTGGGTCATTTGAATTTCGTATCCTGGGACTATATCACCTACTCAAAATATGCATTTAAAAAAAATTTTTAAACTACAATACAATCACAAAGGTAATTCTTTAGGTCTTTCCGCCCAAATCTTTAATTCTTATAATTTGTTATTAGGTACTGAAAGCTATATAAATTTAAGTCAGTTTTAGAATGGAAAACCTAAGAGATTAATAAATCAAGCCCTTTCATTTCTGTTAAAAGCAAGAAATATACTGGAAGTTTATCTTCATTCTAATTACTAGAAAGTGGAATTTGCCATAAGGCAAGGCTTGCCTACTCCTTTCCAGGAGCCTTTAGTTATTTCAAAAGTTACAAGGCTGGTCTGTGTAAAAGACTGTCTCATAACATAAACTCAAAGGAAAGCCTTGTAGTGAGTATCTAGTTTATTACAAATAGTAATTTAAGTTTAAGAGAATGTGGCTGGAAATGTTTGTCAAGTAAAAACACAAGTACAATGTATCATATATCATAAAAAAAAAAAATTGCCATTGAGTCAATTCCAACTCATAGCGACCCTGTAGGATGGAGTAGAACTGCCCTATAGGGTTTCCAGGGCTGTAAATCTCTATGGAAGCAGACTGCCACATCTTCCTCCTGCGGACCTTTCAGTTAGCAGCCAAGCACTTAATCACTG